TTTCCTCTGCCGCGCGCGCCATATCGCTCCTTACGCAGTGTCCACAAGCATGATGAAACCCGATTTTCGCGAGGGAAGTATGGGCTTAAATCTGCCGTTGGCCTGGTATTCGATGAACTTTTCCTGCATTTTGATTACTCTGCAAGGGTTTTTCATATCAACCTGCCGAGGGGGGGGGAGGGAAGGGTAAAAATTGGGGAGACGGAATCAGCACATGTTCTGAGGTCATACATTCGGCGTTAATCAGCTCAAGTGTGTGTACAGGGGTACGGGGGAGGGATCATGCGATGCACTATATGGTGACACACACGGGTATGATCTAAACACCGCTACGCTCTACAAAGAGGTATCATTTATACACCGCTACGCTCTCGAAGAGGCGCCCACTCACCGTGTTGCTGACGGACGGGATGGTCGAGACTTTGCCCTTGGTGTCGGGCTTCTTCATTTTCTGCAAGTTGGAAAAGCTGCTAGTCTCGTTGGCCTGCTCATTTGTCGTCTCGTCATTGGCACTTCCCTCTACGCTCTCGGCATGGGAGACGTGACTGGACTGCCCCACGGTAGCAGCCGTACTGAGGATCTCCAAATTCTTCATAGATTTCCCATCAGATAAAACGGAGCTGTTGTCATCCTGGGCAGTTCTCTCCTTAGCCAATTTACTCTCACTTTTCTGCTTCTTCAATTTTAGACTTTTCCGTTTCGCAGTAGTAGACAGAACAGCCGTAACCGTTTCCTTCTTTTCTTGTGTCTTCTCTTTGCTTAAGAAGGAGGGGTAATCAAAGGTCTGATTCTTGCAGGTGGAAAGGACGCAGAAATTTTTGGGTACCTTCAAATCTTCCGTTAATCCAATTAAGCAAGTCGGAAGGAACGTCAAGCTAATCATATGAATCAGTGGAAACCAATACCACAGTTGGCTAAATAAGCAGAAACCAACAGCTGCTTGTGGTCTAATAATATTTGCTCTTCTTGTGAAGAAGGTCGAAATGGCATTCCTTCCACAGATGTCTAATAATCCAGCACCTACTATGGCACCAAATTTGGCAATAATATCTTCATGTTTGTCTGATAAAATGCGCATAATTTCATCTTTATATTTTTTAAAATTCGGATTTACGTGTTCATTCGATTGCTGGAAAATTAGTCCTAACGATATGAATGCACTTTGTCTTACAAAATCAGTTGTATCGGTTAGCATTGGCATGAGCATGTTGATAGCTTCTTCATTTCCTGATGCAGCGCACGCGATTCCTAGTGCTAGTGCTGCCCCGTAACGTACATGTGGGTTGTAGCTTTCAATTAGGAGATTTAAAAACATCGGAACTTGGGATGGACTGTTACATAAGACAAAACCTAATGCTATAACGGCTGCTCTCCTAACATCATCACTTACGTCTGATACGGAAAAGTGTAGTAGCCTTTTTATTATATGTTTATTGTAGCTAGATAAACCACAGTACGCCATAGCAATGGTAAACATTCCTCCGTATCGTATGATGGCATCCTTATCGTTAATTAATTCTTCAATCAGCACATCAGCCTCCTTCTCCTTTTGGAACATCACAAATCCTAGACTGATGCTACAAGCTCGTGTTATTTTTTCATGTTGTGTATCATGTGCATAGGCTAGCAATTCGTCTACGCATTTCTCATCACCACTTCCAAGTTTTAGGAGGCCAATTGCATAGGCTGCACTTTCCCCTGCCACGGCTGAGTCTGAATACATGACCCCTTTTAGCTCATCATACACTTGATCGTCATCATTTTCTCCTAGACACACTAACCCTAACCCTAAGCAACAACCATGTTGTAAGACCTCATCGTTTACATTTAATTTTAACTGAGCTAGTAGGAAGTTTTTCACCTTTTTATCATTTGTGTTATAATTGGCGTGTATTAGCCCAAGGGCATATAGGGAACCTCCCTCTGAGTACACTCCACTGGCGGATATGCCTACGTTCAGATTGTTTGTAATTTGTCTCGACACGTCGTTGTATGGCAGATGTGATGAGAGTACGATAAAGGATTCGTTCACATGTCCTTTGTACACCACACCAAGAGACGCTGTGGAGGAAAATTTAGCCCAATTTATCGCCTTGGATAACCACTCAATGTTGGAGCGCAAAAACACGTCACACGTTGTTCCTGTCTGCATTAACCCGTGCGCTATTACTATCCCATGGTGAGTGATGCTGCTTCTCGAATCAACTACATTTTTGTAACTGTCCAGCAGGATTAGATCGGCGTGATTATTTCGGTGCAGGAATTCCATGTACAAATTTATCGTCACCTTCCCCGTCAATATGAACACAAGCTTCTTCACTTTGTCGTACAGCTGGTGGTTCTCGCTGATATACATGAGGATGTCATCGGAGAGCGTCTGTCTGTCCTCCGTGCTCGCCAGTCCGCTGTTGATTCCGCTGCTATTGTTGCCGTTGGGTGGGTTGACCTCGTTGTCCGCATTTATCGCGTTGTTCTCATTTACCGCGTTGTCCGCATTTACGGCGTTGTCCGCATTTACCTCGTTGTCCGCAATTACCGCGTTGTCCTCATTTACCACGCCGCCCTCATTTACCGCGCCGTCCTCATTTACCGGGTTTTCCCCGTTGCTACCGTTGTCCTGACCGCTCCCCTCGTCTGCGCTTTTCTTTTCCGAGTCATCCGGCGCCTCTCCCGGGGAAGACTCCTCCTGCTGGGGAACTGTGCTTGGAACCTCCCCTTCCTGAACAACGTCATCCGCAGGATAGTCTCCACCCAAATGGAGGTTGGATCGCTTCTTCGATTCGGAAGAGTAGCTGTGCTCCCCATAGTAGAACGACTTATTCTGTATCAAAATTTCCTTAATCTGTTTTAAAATATTTTTTAAAAAGTTACGATTTTCCAAATCGACAAGTTCGAAAGAAATCTGATATGCCATCAAATGGTAGTCGTTAAGCAAACTTAGTAAAATCTCAGCAACCTTCTTATAATCATTAATGTAAAATAAACATTCGCACAAATTTATATACTCATTTTTTAATTCTTCTGAATCCATTGAAAGATATATTTTAACTAGCAGTTTAAAGAAATCACTTCGGAACTTTCTTGTCGTATTAATATGCCTTTCATTTGCAATGGAGTGTTGTAACAATTCGATCTTGTTAGAGCAGTTTAGAATGATATATTCTACTTTGTCTAGTCTTCTAGCGTCTAATGCTACCCCTAAGGCTTCCTTCACGCTGTTATTCTGCATGCAGATTTCTAACATTTCATCAACGAAGAGTTCCATCTTCTGGTGAATTTCGTTATTTGGATCTTCCTTAAAAATGTCTGTATCGACTTTCATTTTTCCGTTACTACTTTCGTGGTTATTGTAAAGGTTGAAATTGCTTCTGTTGTATGTGTTGTCCGGCCCCATGTGACTGGTATAGGCGCCTCCGTGCTCGTCATTGTTATGGTTCACCTCGTTGTTGTCCTCAACGCCCTGATGAACAGTGCTGTGCGCCATGGTGGTTTCATTGCCGCTGTGCTGGTTGCCACTACGTCTGTTGCTGCCGATGCTGCCTCTGCCGCTTATGACTTGCCCCTCATAGTCCCTCTCCCGAATTTCCACATATTTCTCTATACATTTGGCTAGCATTGTCTCGACATACTGCGACTTCTCGTTTATGTTAAACAGCTTCCCTGCACACAGTGCGTACTTCAACGCTTCAGGGTATTTCTCCAAATGGAAATAAACCTTACTAGCCACCAAATTGGCTAGCTCTTTTCCAACGAAATTCTGGTCCTCACATAATTCTTCTATTTTAAAAATATAATCTGCTAACTCGGGCCAGTAAACATCCACAATGGCATTCAGTTTTTCCAACCCGAAGATTTTCAAACTCGCTTGTTCTTCGTTCAGCAGTGCTATGACACCAGAGGCCGACGTGACGATGTCGCTTTGGTGCAGGTTCTTCTCAAAATCCATTTTTTTTTTTTTTTTTTGAGGGGTGGTACTGATCGTAGATATAATATGCGTATGTGGTGATCAGGTTGGAGGGAGACAGGAGGGGTACAACCCAACGGTGGTCTTTTTCTGTATATGTGTGGACGTCTCCACTGGCACGAACGCTATGTGTAGTGCGGCTACTAGCACAGCCACATCTCCGTGTGTCTCCTTGCACAACATGCACGGGAGGACCTACATACATACACACACACCTTTTCCGCTGCCCGAAACTATCCTGGTGTGTATCTCTGGCCGGAGACACTTCCTTTGCAGTAAATTCGAATTTGCTTCTTCACGGGTGTCTCAACGTGTTCTATTTGCACTTGCCTTTTCGTTTTCTTCTGCAAATTTGATATATTTTTGTTAAGGCAATTGTGTTAACCTCTCGCCTTTGCGTTAGAGCGTCATTATTATATATGCCCCCTTTCCTACAGCCTACGTTTATTTTATGTTATTTTTTTTCTTTTTTCTCCCTAGGGGAAAAAACAGTTTGTGTATAGGGCATTTATAGTACCACTAGGAAGAAGAGAAGATGGAAAGAAGCGCTCGATCCGTAGATATAGATAGGGAGTTTTTTTTTTTCTGCCCAATCGGCATATCGAATTCGGGGTGTTCGTCCCTATTCAGTGCCGCTTTCCTGTTTGCTTAGCCTCTTCGGTTTTGCGTATCCTGTTGGTGCCTCCCCAGGCATTCCTTAACTGTTCAATTGCTCCTTAACCGTTCGGTGGCTCCTTAACCGTTGAGTGCCTCCTTAACGGTTGAGAACGTAACCTTTTCCGATTTTCTTACCCTGTTAGCCGTTTTAAGCTTTTTCTCACTATTCACATACTAGTGAACACCGCTTTTTTTCTTTTTTTTTCTTACGCTAACGTTGGCTATTTTAAATTATTTTGGCACATAGTTTCTTGTGCTGTTTGCGAAAAATGCAATTTTTTTATTTATTTTTAAGAGAGGGGGAAAGTACATGTTTACTTGTGTACGAAAATGGTATAACCTGGGCGCCGCGCGTATGCAAGGGGTTAATTATGTTCATTTATTTCGCGATGCGCGAGGAATGCCCACATGTATGAATATATATATTATTACATATATTATATACATATTACTTAAACGTGCGTATGCATGTACAGCTCGCATTTTACGTGTACGTATTTTTTACCCATATGCATACGCATCTTGCCTTGTGTCGTGAAACTGTACCAATTTTTTTTTTTTTTTTTACAAATTGGAGGATATTTCTAGTGCCTAGGAAAAAAAAAAAATGGTTGTGCACAACAATGCACCTCCTTCAGGGAATACCTAGGCGAAGTAGCGAAAACACATATTCTACCAAGGCGGAGTGACGTGTACAAGGAACAGATTTAGATTATCTCCATTCAAAATGATTTACTCAAACAAATGATTTTACATCACTTTTTGGTGTGCTTGTAAACGTCGCAGAAGAAAGATTTTTCCCTCCAATCTCTTTCCCTGGGCACACTTAACACAAGTTGGAAAAATAAAATCACAATACAATTGGTTCATATAAAATGGTGGATTTTCTCGACTTATTCTGTTGAGTGATAATTTATAAAGTGATCTCTAAGGGATCACACTCCTCCCTTGTGTAAGTGTAAGCATCACATAGTAACGTTATCACAACCGCCTAATCGAAGCATCCTCGGTGCCCAAGATTTTCACTTCACCACATTGTTGCCACAAAAAAAAAAAAAATGCATGCAAGGTCACGAAAAAGAGTGAAAAAAAAAAATATTCCTACGTAGCCTGGATATATGATTAGAATTTCCCTACACCTAGCTACACTCCCACTGAAAGGCGCAGAAGGGTGACACAACAAAATGAGGCCCATCGGAGCAACACATCCTAGTCAAATGGCACACACAGCTTGAATGCAATTGGCATCTTTTACAAGTGAAAGAAAAAATGTAGCACCCGTCATTTTGTATGTGTAGGCATACTTCAGCTTACCAAGCAATGGAGAGAAAAAAAAAATAAATTAATAAAATAATTACATTCTTTTTTTTTTTTTTTTTATCAAAGGGGGGTTTTCCGCACAGTTAAAAGGTAAATATTCGTCACACATTTGCATGAACATTTTTAATTAAAAGTTTAACAATTGCATAGTTGCGAAAGGGAAGGATAGGAGATTTCATTCACTGCCAGTGTACAGCCTTTCTTTTGTACTTATTTAAAAGGTTTGCATTTTTTTTTTTCGTTCGCCTACGAAATGTATCATTAGTCAATGTGCCGCCACTTTTACCACCAGAATTGTTCAGCTTATATCATCCCGTATTTCTGGAAGTTTAAAAAGAATGTCAACTGTGGAGGGAACAAAAAACTCCAAAAAATAAAAAAAAAAAAAAAAAAAAAAAAAAAAAAAAAAAAAAAAAAAAAAACACCCGTACGTGTACAAACAGATGGGTGGGCAAGTATTTACCATTTGAAAGTGCTTCACTTCTTAAAAGGCAGATTAATATTCTGCAAAAAACAGAAGCATATTTCGCCATTCTTTTTGCCACTTTGGTGTAATTTGTAGAAAAGGGAAACCAAGAATAGCTACATGTTACTAATCGAGATGACAAAATAAAGCAAGTGTATTATCGTATCTTTTGGCTAATGTGATACGACACTAATTCCGCAGTGCAGCTCATTCAAGGTTGCGTCCAAAAGGGTTAGTATACAGCATTATTGTGTAAACGAATGCGCCAGCTTGTAATGTTCTCATTTGGCGCTTGGATTCCTTTTTCCCCCCCTCAGCTTGATGAACGCCTCACGCTTAAAGAAAACTCATCATTATAATGTGCACATATATATATAGTTACGTACGTATGCGCAGGTGTAACTAGATGGAAGGCCCCAATTGGGCCCCTTTTGTCCACTTGCCGTGCAAGGAACACACAGCTGGTTTTGATGACATATGCACTGTCCAATGTTACGGGTTTATCTGTTCATTTATTTGTTCCTCATTTGTTGATTTATTCGTTCACTCATCTGTTGACTTATTTGTTCATTTTTTTTTTTTTTTCTCCTTTTTTTCGCTTGCCTTTTTTTTCATAGTCATCTGATTTTCACAAAGGAAAGACGTACAATTATGTCTTTCACAAAATGGAGGTGTACTGTTGGACCCTGTTTCCATCCTCTCTGTGTTAAGTTATGGCATGTGTTATGAGGATCCAAATGGGACTCGGCGAATGCGCCTACGTATGTACAGGCGTATGTATGCGCTGATGAATATATTACAGCATTGCCATTCCCTGACAAGGGAATAAACACCCAAAAAA